TATGTCTGATGATAATGTATTCCACTACAATAGAGTAATCTAGAGGAAAGACCCACAGACATCTATTACATTAAAAAGCAAGTCACATATGTTCATTGCACCAAGGACAAAAATTTAAATCTGTAATTTATATTCACTAGATCACCTAGTGTCACTAGGGTTGGTATCACACACACACACACACACACACACACACACACACACACACACACACACTGCCTGGCTGGCAGATCCCCCACCCACCCAACTCTACCAGCCAAGCCACCTCTGCCATGGTGGTGGTGGTAAAGCTGTCACCTCTCAGCCACCTGTTTTTTTCCAGGTCTGGCATGGGTTCTTTCTGACTTTGGCATGGCTGCTGCATGATCAGTCACAACAGACCCAGAAAACACCACTGATGGATTGGGTAGATGAATCTCCAGCCTCCCAGCAACCCATTCTTTCTCAGTCTGGGGCAGATCCTCATGCAGCAACTGCACTAGATCAGGAAAGCACTAGCGATAGGTGGGTGAAACTGCTGCTTTCATGGCAGCCCATTCTGTCCAGGGGGACTGCATCACCAGGTGGTCATCTTCCTCCTAGGTGTCACCCAGTACAGGCTACACCTCCTGCACTTCCAAGTGACATCCCTTTATCAAGCTATCTACCAGAATACAAATCTAGCCTCTATCTTCCCATGCAGCAATACTTCCATGGGATGACAGTGAGGAGAAAGAACAAGATGCTTCAGGGTAAATAGGAAATAAGATAAAACAGCATAATTTTACATGTATAAGCAAACACTGTTCTTAAAATGAGTGTACAATTATATACATACCAGAATGGTATGCCTCTTCCCCCTATTAGCTACTAAAATCGAGAAAGATGAGAGTTGTATAAAAACCTAAAAAGGAAGAATTTCAGCATCCTGTAATCTAATTGGCCCAAATCCATTTGTGAATCCCAGTTAGGAAAGAACCAGGGAATCAACTGCTGAATGGTAAGTGAATATTTACATAAATATCATTGTGTCATGCCCCCTCCTGAAAATTCAGCTGCAGAAGATGAAACAGACCTACTGCAACTGTGCCCTTTTCCAGCTCAGTCTGGCAGTCACTTGAGTTCCCCAAAGGAGCAGGAGGTAGGAGAGAAAGCTCTAAGTCCACAGGAAAGGTGAAGGTTCAGTGTTTGACATAAACCCAGTTCCTTCCCCAAAGTTGAAGTGAGAAGCTACACACATGGAGCTGGGAAACACCCTCTTGGTATATGGTCTACAAGTTAGGTTGGGCTGAGTCGGCTGGCTTTATAAGTCAGGGGCCTTTCCTTGTTTGGGTTACTGAAAGCAAACTTGGTTTCTTTCTCAGCCTGCATCTACTGTGAGATATGGCCCTGTGATTTATGAGCTTGGATGATTTCTTGACTCACATATCTTGGCACTCCTACATAGACTCTGATTTGATTTATGGTTCCTGACACACACCCGGTCCCACATTGTTTTTTTTATCAGACACTGCTTGTTCCTTCTGCTACTGCACATTTAGCATTCTGCATTCTGTTGCAGTGTGAGAGTAGGATACATTGATTGAATGGTTATGTTCCAGTTGAGATTAGTTTGCTTCATGTTGAGAGGAATAAGAATCATTATGATTTTTTCAAGGTTTCTTATTATTAAAACTATTCATAAGTTACTCAATTACATTAAGTTCCCAGTCCAACAAAATATTATGTGACATGGAAACTGTCTAAAGCATTGTATGCTATCCATATTGATGTATATTGTCATTTCAGTATCAGGGGAATGCCATCCTGGAATTTTTAGAAAATTAGCCACTAGCAAGATCAGTTCTGCCATATTGGCATAAAGTACATTTATATGGTAGTATGTTTCATCCCACTGACTTCAGTATTACTTCTTTCCATGCCATGCTTAATCTCACCAATCTCAAGTAGCTGAAGAGCAGTGCCAAACAAACAAAAAGATCAAAAAGAAAAGGCAAAGTCTGAAACTGATATTTAGAAATAGTAATGGATTTTTTGCGTATAATGTTTCTAAGGTATTATTTTCAGAGACACTGTGAATAAATACCATAAAATAAACATTAAAATGGAAACTGAAATAATAATATGAACCTTACAAAGAAAAAATGCACAAAACAGATTTACAGGAATTATTACTCAACTGTTAAATGCATCAACGTGTCTAATTTTAGCATCTGTGTTTACAAAGCAATGAGAAAGATACTAATAAAAACAATTGCAATGAAGATATATCATCTTAATCATGACAGTATCTATGGCTACCTTCTTTGCTAGGAATAATAAGGTTAAAGCTTATGAAAAACTAATAAACTAACTACAGCATCAAAAGATGTGTCTGAAAATGCCTCTAAATAAGACACAGGAAACTGAGAATCACTATGGTACTATGGCTTAGGGATGTTTACACTTGCATTAGGGAACATGCCTAATGAAAAAGCTTAGAATCTTTTCTATAGTCTATAACTATATTTCTATAGCAAAATCCAAACCCCACAAAACAGCCATACCTTTATTGGGACAACTAAACTAACACAAAAATACATCATGTACACTTTCAAAGCTCTCTTGGCTTCTCAGACAAAGGTGTTTAAAATAATATAGGAGAAGAAGAAAATGATGTCAGAGTCATAGGGCTTATATTTTGTCTTAAAATGTTATTTCTGTTGTCAGTTAAGAAGGTCTAGAGGGGTATCAATGTAGGCAGACCTCACCCCCCTTTTTTTTAACCTACAACAAAGGCAAAACCTTTTTATTTGGACTGTAATTGGCAAGTTTGACATGTGTGAGCAACAGAAGTCATATGTTGCATAAATGTGGTTCTGATACAAAAAATAGTGTGAACAACAACAGAATGCATTAGTGAGATTATTTGGATAGTTGAAGTAAAAAAACAACAGTCTGAATAGGGCTAAAGTGTAAAGAACCCTATATAAGGAGTTTCCTCCACTAGGAGGGAATGGAGGTGATGTGGAAACTAGGAGTAAGGGCCCTTCAGCAGGAATGCCCAGTCAGAAGCAGGAGGAGTACTTGAAAGCTAACTAGAACTCTGCTGACCAGAGTAGGATGTCCAGTTTACATCAACCAATAATCATTCATCCAGATAGGGTGTTGTTTTCTCTGTGGTTTATTTCTGGTGGGCAAGCTTTAAGTTGGCTGCTACCTAGTGACAGAAGTAGGGTGACCAAGTAATTGTCATTTCTATTGTAAAATTGGGGAGGAGCTTTTCTCCCATTTATGGCTGAGTCCCAGAATACACCAGCAAGTAAAATGCACAAATCTGTCAGATACCATAAATAGCCCCTGCTAACCGTAATACAGTACTGTTTATTTGTTACAGCTACATTTTGTCATTTATACAAGACATTCAAACTGTTGTGCATGGTTCACTCCCTATAATTTTATCCTCATGACAACTCTGTTTTTTCTTCCATAGCATGCAAATATATCAAGACATGGCAGTGATTGTTGTTCTTGTCCTTCCTTTTTTTCTGATCCACATGGAGGTTTTCTGCTCACAGGGTGGTATAAGATTTCCCCTCTCTTTCCCCAAGTATTGTATTCATATCCAAACAGTGACTTAAATGCTCAGTCACACAGATACTTTTTAATTGTTTTATATTTCCCAGAGCACTGGGCTCTGTGCTGTGGAATCCTACCCTTCCCCTCTCAGAGGGTGGTTCTATTTTTTAATCCATCATTTTTTTTTAATCTATTAAAAATAATAGAATATGTATTTGTGTGCAGTGAATGGAGGAAAATATACTCAGGAGTAAGACAATGTAAGAGGCATTGATTGTCATTATGTGTTGGCAACAGTTTACAGGAAGTCATATTAAGGAGTATGATACAAGCAGGATTGGGTTGCTATGTCCCATAGCATACACACAAAAGCAGTAGTACACATAATTTTACTGATACAGTAATTATGTTATCAATAAAAACAACAACAATATTCCATAAAAACTGTAAAACCACACATAAAATGAAAATTAGTATATGAAGTTAATAGGGAGCTATCTGAAGTTCATTTAACTGGTGTAAAAATGGCTATTTTGACTATGATGTAATTTTTTTTGTCTCTGTGTGTTTTATTGAGCAATTCTAATCTCAAAATGCAGAGTTCTATAGAGCTGCTGTTTCAGGATTCAGTGCTTTGATCAGCACAACATAGATTTCTCATTAACAGTTCAATGTACCCAGTTTCTGCCCAGTCTAAAACATACTGCCTTAGGAAGAACAAGAATTCTGTTGAAGTGAAACCATTTAGGTCATCCATTTACTGCCTTTCTAGGAATTGACTGAGACACTCTTTCATTCATTTGAATGTATATGCACAAAGCAGCACAAAATTTAGTGAAGTAAACAGAGAAGTGTCCCTTTTAAGTGGATTATAACCTTTTGAGCTGAACTAGATGTCATGAGCAAGACGAAAACAACACTGGAAAATCTGAAACATGGCACATCATTGCTAGGTATAGCACAATAGAGCTGTGGTATATGTGGTGGTATATTAGCAGTGGCGTACTAATATAGAGCCAGTGTGGTATAGGAATAAAAGTATCACACTGAGCCAGGGGAGACTCAGGTTTAAATCTCTAAACAGTACTCAGTAGATATTTTTTGGGTCCCAATTTTGGGATATCCACTTTAGGTTCCAATTTTGGGAGGAAAATGGGATATAAATAAATAAATAAATAATATTCTACTCCATCAGTTACAGAACCCTTGCAGACTGGTAATATGTTCCAAACTGTCCCATAGCAATTTCTGCAAAGTGTCATGACTACTTCCAGCAGCATAATAATTCCCAATAAGGTTTCTAAGTACAATGCCTGCTCCTAAAAGGTTAGAAATAGAAAGCAATGGATGGGCTGCAGCCCAAAACTTCACTATGAAACATGCCTGTTCTCTGAGAGTGGGGAGAAATATGTTAGGAGGGAAATGGAAAGATCATTCTGATGTGTTAATAATGTGACAGCAGAGACAGTGTGGCATAATGGTTTGTGCACTGGATTATGACTCTGGGGACCAGGGTTTGATTCTCAGGTCAGCCATGAAACCCACTGAGTGACCTTGGGCAAGTTACATACTTTCAGCCTCAGGGAAACACAATTACAAACGTCCTCTGAACAAATCTTACCATGAAAACCCCATGATAGGGTCCCCTTAGGGTCATCATAAATCAGAAATGACCAAGGCACACAGCACCAACAATAAATAATGTGACACAAGGTAAAACATGCTGTTTTGCTTATACTCACTGTGTGCACACTTTGTTTTGTTTGGTGTGGTATAGTGTGCAGTTTATGTTTTGCCTGAGCATTTATGCATAATAGTGTGTGATGGGGGTGGCAGTGGCAGGTAAATGGCTTCCATGTCGGGGAAGTGATAAATCTGGAGGTTAAATGAGCTATTCAGAATACTGAACCAATTTTGGGGACAAGATCCATAATCTTGAATAGAACTTTAAAAGCTCACACTGAAAACCAGAGGAGATTCACTACTCTATTGACCAGCAGGACAACAGCCACCATTGGTGAGTGGATGTTTCAAATATATTTCTTTAAGCATCACTAGTTTTCCACCTGTCAGATTTGGGGCAGGGTGTGGTGTGGTTATAGGGACAAATATGTGATCTGGTATTTGGGATCAAACCTGACCTTTGACCTGAACTAAAGTTAATCTTTGAACCTCATCAGCCATTTTGTGAAAGTTTTTTTGTGAGTCACCTTGGGTACCACTCCAGGAGAAATGTGGTGTAGCAATGAAATAAATAAAATAAAATAAAGTGCCCATGCCTGTCTCAAAAACAATATAGAAACTAAAACATAAAAATAAAAAATGGAAACTTCAGACTAACCTTCTAGCAAACATTTGAGACCTCTAAGAAAATACAGGATACGCCAGAAAGTTTGAACTTAGGCAGAAAGAGCAGGCATTCTCTGTAGTGGCATCACTAGGGGGTGCGGACAGCATTGGGTGGCACTTCAGAAAAGGGGTGACACCCACTCAGGCCCTCCTCCCACTGTGGTGCTGCTGCTAGCACTTGCTTCTTATCCACTAACATGGCTCTCTTCACCAAGGAGGAAGCCAAGCCAACAAAGAAGGAGGGGTGGCCAGATGCTGTGTCTTTTTCCAACAAAGAGGAAGGCAAGGCAGCAAAGAAGGAAGTGTGTTCTTCCACCTCCTCCTGCTATCTCACTTACCCAGCCACTCCCTGGCAGACCTGAGTGGGCATCTGGGCAGATGCTGGATGGGGTGTGTGGCAGCAGAAGGGAAGGAAGAACAGAGTAGACCACAGCTGCCTGAGAATTCACTTAACAGCATTTTCTACACAGGAATTGACTTTTTTCTGTACACACATACACACACAAATACCATGAAATACTATGAAATGCTTTCTTTTGTGCAAAAACGCCATATGCAGAGTTTGTGCTTAAATCCTGAACTTCAGATAGTTTTCATAATCTGTAAAATTTTCTAAGACTTTCTCACAGCAGGAAGAAAATTACTAAGGACCAATGCAGACTGATAGTTTAGGCCAGCCTGGGGGAGGAGTTGGGGTGGAGAAACCACACTCTGGCCACCCCAACTCCACCCCGACTCTGCCCCAACACCACACAGCCATCTGCATGGCATGCGGCATCAGGGAGCCCTCTTGGTGCACCGTGCATACACGCTATGCCAAAAGGGCATAAAAGAGTTGTGGCAGCGGCTCTAAGGGTGGCTTTTTGCTGCTCTTTTGGGGGTGGGAAAAGGGAGCATCGGGGCCACGGCATGTGATTGCCGTGGCCCAGAGCCACCCCACATGGGCCGTCTGCATCGGCCCTAAGAGTACTTGTTGCCTCCTTCAAGAACAAAATTAGTGAACGTTTACATCCCTACTTTGAATTTATTCCTCTGCCCATTTCAGTTTGGTGGTACAAATGGTTATTTACACCCTTCTTTTCTGCCATCTCATTTACATTCAAAGTGTGTAACAACCAAGAAATGAAAACAATATAAAATGAAATGGAGGACCATTTCTGATGATAAATACAGTAGCTGAATGATATCGTATCACTAGTTCCAAGTCACCACTGCTGGTGAAGCCATTACACCAGACATATAGACAAGGGAGAACTAAAATGCTAACTCATAAAGTCACAGAACTGGGAAAATTTATGTATTAAACTAGGAGTTGGCAACTGTGGAATGCTAGGGGGCCTTAGCCTGTAATTGCCTCTATGGGGCATGGAAGTATTTTCATTATGTTTTGGGTTCCAAAAAGGCCACTTTGGGGCTTCAACAGACCCCTGCTTGTAAATATTTGGGAGCAGAACATATTTTTTTTCAGAAATTTTGAAAAATTATTTTTTATCCCAGGGGTCCTCCAAATGTGGTAGAAATGCCCTCCATATCACCAAGGCTGTATTTAGGGGGATTTCTTCCTCATTTGTTCAAAAAAGTATATTTTTCAGTCCTAGGGGTCTTGCAGCCACAAAAATGGATTTAAGGGGCTGCATGTGCCCATGGGTTGCACTTTGCCCACCCCATATTAAACAAACTGCTGTCTTCATACTATGTTCTGTCAGATCACACTAACAATTACTGCTGCAATATATTACAACCATTGTGAAGAAGGAAGGGTGTAAATTCACTGGCCATCTTCCTTCCTAGACTTTTTAAAAGCTAGTAAGCTTACCATGATAGAAATACTAAATAAAAATGGGCTACTAATAGAATGGAAAAAATAAGCAACAAGAGGGAACTGTTAATTCCTTTCTTCTTTTTCTTCCTTAGAATGTTAGGGTCAGTGCCTAAAAAGGTTAATTATCTCACAGCATATTGGATGTGTTTATCCTGCACAGTAGCTGGTAATTTACTTGTATTGTAAATTTTAAAGTTCACACATTCAACAATGAGAATTTCTGCTTTCGTCAACAAAGAAAAGGTCTACTTACACTCAAACAGTATTTAGCAAATGGAATTCAAGAACAGTTTCATGGAAATAAATTATGCAAGCATGACATATGTTTCAGTGTAATTACATTAGCACATAAGTTTTTTTTTAAAATACTTACTGTTTCAGTTTAATGTGTATTGGCTAACTAAACAATTGGCTATGTGAAAACAGAAACGTATGAATTCAGGGGTATAAACAAACAGTGAATGTATCTAGCAATTCAAAATAAAACATTTCCAATGCAAGCCTTGCTTCTCTCCAAATACATGAACACATATATCCCTCTAGATTTAATGCATTTTTTGTCTTCAACATACAGTAAAGGGAATTTAATGGGGGAAAACAGGAGGAAATCAATGAACACAGCCATGGAAAAGTGAAATGCCAATTGCTGTGTGTGTGGCTATTAAGTCAACAGCAGCAGCTAAAGAGCAGGTAAAAATGTGTGATATACAAATATAATACAACAGTGAGAAAATATGTATTTTGCAAACATTAACTCTTCTCTACATTTTTAAGTAGGACAAATTCCTGTAATTTTTCAAAATTGTTTTTCAAACACTTTATCATCTTCTAAAACTAGCTAACACTGGCTGCACAAACTCTCTCCATGGAGCCTGACTTTAAATCATCATTAAATGACAACTTGCTGACTTGAAAGGTACTAGTTATGGGAAGCATAGTGAAGGGAAAACATAGTAATACCTACAAATAAGTGTACAGAATGTAATAGTGCACAAAAAGTTTAGGGTTTAAAAAAAGGCATAAGTTATAACAGATTGTTTACCTATTTGCATCAATTGACAGTGCAGACCTAAACTGAAGATCATCCAGAGTCCTCACCAGTTGAGGTTGTGCTCTTTTAAGCTGCATACGCCTCCCACAATGAATTTGCATCCTCAAGCAATTCATGTTTATTTCATCAGACTAAGGAATCAATGAAGAGTCTAAAATGGAAAAGAGTATGGCCAGAATATAAACAGAACCTAGAATATAAGCAGGAGCTCTGGTGGCGCAGTGGTTAAATAGCAGTCCTGAAACCACAACATTGTGAGTTCAATCCCAGAGGGCTCCAAGGTCCATTCAGACTTCCATCCTTGCCATTATGCTTCTTTCCAAGGAATATTCAGACAAATATCTCCTGCACAGAAAGCTTGGTGCAAACATTGTGGGCCAAAATATCTGGAAACCACCCCACCCCAAGTTAGTACCTTTCCCAAGCACCACTACCTCAACCACAATCCAGCCACATATACCAACACTCACGCAATGTGTTATAGGCTATGGCTAGTGCTTTGTGTTTCGTTTACACCACTTTGTATCTGCTGTCTTATGACCTATTAGGACATTGTTTAAAAGACAGGATACTGAATGAATGAAAGAAATGCTTCACAACTATCCATGTGTTCTTATTCCGTAACAGCTGAAAGTGAGTTTGCTGAAAGCAAACCTCCTTTTCAAGTCAAATTATTTTCAAGGATGTGATCCTTGAAACATGGAGTGTCATTCCCCTGAATCAAGCTCATATGATTGCCACCTTATGTTTGCAAAGAGACAATGATGACTGTGAAGCAGTATCACATTGCTAAATGCCCTTCTACTTACAAGGGGGAAATGGCTCCCCATAATTGTATAAGTCTAGAAGAGCAAAAATTGCATGGTGTGGCCAGAGAAGAAGGCTTAAAGATCCCTTCAAAACCAACTAGCATTACTGTAGGGCCTTGCCTTCTATTGCTTGCCAAGAAGCTGTAGCAGGAGATCAGTATGATCTAGAAATATGTCACGTAAAAGCAACATTGATATGAACTGTCAGTGCACAATCAAATGAGAATTTTCATTAGTAGTTTTGATGTCCAAACAAACTAATATCTCATGCCCTGTGAAGTATATCTAAAATGGCTGTTTTCTTCTTGCTGTTTAACAATTAATGCATATAAATATCTTGCATTTCACTAAATTTTCAATTACTCTTGAGCTGCAACTGGAGCAGGAGCAATCTTATGTCTATATTGCAGTTAACCCATGTGCATGAGGTAACAGAAACAAGAGAACCAACCACACTTCTAAGCAAAATGAGGCAAGCATCATAGTTGCAGATGTTTGAAAGAA